CAAGAGCGGATCAGACAGGGGGGGTTCATTAGATCCATTATCGTCGGTGACGCGCAGGGGCCACATAGGGAACTTGGACAAGAGAGACAAGGATGCAGAGGAGGACAGATGGGAGAATGGGGCAAGCTGGAGGCAAGAGCGGATCAGACAGGGGGGGTTCAAGAGGCAAGGGCTTTGCTGGGTACAGGAGTGTGTGTAGAGCAGGAATGCGGGGTTTGGGCGGGGTCGATGCGGGATTTATACAAGGGTTCAGGTTTTGAGTTATAGTATGTATCTAGGATACCGGGTGAGCACGATCATAGGCGCGTACAAGCTTCATAGCATTCTTAAGGTTAGCAAGAGGTTCCCATGTAGATTCTTCGTCAGGGTATCCTGTCCATTTAACTTTGTATTCTGTGATCGGTTCACGGTGGTCAGATACTTGAGTAGTTCTTCGTCCTATGATGGCTTCGACGAATTCAGGGCCTGTGGGTAACATGATTGGTGGAGGTCTAGGATATGGGTGGTCAGCGAATTGGGGTGGGGATTCATGGTATTCTTTTAGGTATTCGACGTGGAAGACCTGGTGGACACGACTCATGTTAGGGGGAGTTGGAGTTTGTAGTTGACGGGGGAGGTTTGTTGAATGACGGGGAAGGATCCGAGCCACTTGTTCGAGAGTTTCTTGGACAAGTCGTGTTCATGTTCAAAGCGTTTGGCGGAGAGCCAGACTTTGTTCCTTACTTTGAATTGCAAGTCACATTGGTATTTGTTAGTCTTGTTTGCTTGTTGTTCTTGTGTTCTTTCAAGGGCTTCGGTTGCTTCTCTGAGGACTCGATTCATTGTCGCTGCCCATTCATTGAGAGAAGGGCAAGGAATGGAGGGGTTGAGTTGCGAGGGGAGCAGGAAATCGGAGGGCAGGCGCGGGTGATAGCCAAGGTCAAGGTAGAATGGAGTCATGCCAGTGGAAGGACAGACAGCGTTGTTGTAGGCGATATTGGCGGAGGTGAGCAACTGATCCTAGTCGTGTTGACGTGGATGACAATACTTCTGCAGGATTCTTTGGAGAGTATCGTTCATCTTCTCGGTTTGCCCATCGGTCTGTGGGTGGAATGCAATGTTATACTTGAGTGTGGTTCCGTAGGCTTTAAAGAGGTGTTTCCAGAATTGTGAAAGGAAGCAAGGGTCACGGTAGCTGATGATGTTCTCGGGGAGACCGTGATGGCGAGCGACATGGTTGAAGAAGAGAATGGCGACGTCCTTGGCATTGTGCGATGTGGTGTAAGGGATGAAGTGGGCGCATTTAGTCAAGCGGCAAACAATGACATAAATGCAATCATGTTCGTGGTCGGTCTTGGAGAGACCGCAGACGAAGTCCATGGAGATGGACTGCCACCGGTGGGTGGGGATCGACAATGATTGTAGCTTGCCGGGCTTGGTGCAGTTTGAGGGGGTGACGACTTGACACATGGAGCA